GGTTAGAAGAAGAGGCAGTAAGGTGTGTGTTGGGGGCAGGAGAACTTAATCAACAAGAGGTAACAATGAAAGGCTCAAGTGTACAATTAATCAAGTGAGAGAAATAATCCTCCTGAGAGAGGTTTCTCACAAACTTGGTTTAACAACTGCTATCCTGATCAAATCAGAAGGATTCTTCAACAATGTGGGGAAAAGGTGGAAATGGGCATGGCAAAATACCCATACTTTTTAGTTCTGCCTTAGATTTAAAACCGTGCCTATTAAACACACTGCCATCTTCCCACAATGAAGTCTCTCTGGCAGGTGCATCATTTAGAACTTAACTACTATTCTCAAGTACCTATTTACATGCTTTCTCCATGGTAGCTAAAAACCCTAATAATTAACATTAATGATTTACAGCCATTTAAAAATCACATCATATCTCTGATTACTAAAAAATTATGTACTCATGTGAAAGTAGTCTAATTGTATGGTGCTGAATTTTTTTTTAAGTAATGTAAAAATGTTTAACATGCTGAGTTTGCTTAGTTTATCCAAAAGTAACTTAGTAAGATTCATGGGAAATTAAGTGTTTTTTATCTGTAAATCCTAGTATGTTTATTCCTGATTGTAGCTGAGTCCAAAGCCCTAGCATGGATTTCATTTCTGAGCATTTTAAAATTCTTCTAGTTGTTATATTTAAGATGGGTTTTACCCAGCAGCACATTCAATGATGAATATTTATTCATCAACTTTTGTAGCTAGAAAACTCATATTGGTTTATATAAAGGAAACGAGTTAGAGACATTTAAACCACAAACAAAATTACAAGGGTTATTATTTTTAAAATAAAGGAACCTGGGAACTAAACAACAGCTAACATTTCAATGATGCAGTTGTGATAATGTAACCTGTTAGAAGAATTCACCATCAATCTGAAATTGAGTTGCAATATCATGCCATTTCTTCCAAGTACTGTGACTATTTCAATAAAAAAGATTTCATTTTGATCATCTATATGATAACAAATAGAAAAATCCCCTCAGAATGATGACTCTCACTGTTCTTTCAAATTGTTTTCCATGTTTAGTGACAAAGTACTTAAATAGAGCAACGGATATTTTCCCTCATAGGTACATATATTTCTTTTTATATCATTTATGCTAGTAAAAGAGAAGCCACCTTCCAAATTAATGTCAATCATGGAATTTATGGGTATCTCCTAGCTTCCCCTGTGAGTTATTGTTAATTGAGAAAGTAGGTGTTTACACTACATCCTAATGTTAAGGCACAGACTGTGATTGCAGCAATAAACACAGTATTTCTCTGGTGCATTCATTTCTCAGTCAAAAAAAATTATCACTTAAGATTCATTTATTTTTAGCGAAGTGAATTTCCAAGTTAGTATGCTCATTAATGCTTAATAACTTACAGAAATATATTCTTTTTTGTGATCATGCATTGCCATTTTCATTGTTGCAAAATGTTTACAAGTTTATGACATGAGATACTATTTATGTTTTCATATTTGGGTTGCCAGACATTCTCCCAATCATGCACAATTATAAATAGTCACCTTGATTTCACAATTATCTCATTTGTTCTGAGCAGTGTAAGGGACAGGAGTTAAAATCATTCACACATTACAGTAGCCTAAAATTGGTAGATTCCCTAAGCTGATTTGGGAAGAATTAATCCTAGTTCCCACTGGATTGTTGCAAACACTGGATTGTTCTGGCAAATGTTAAATTGCCTGAAATTTAAACCTAAAAGAATCATCTTGCATATTTCCCAAAAACAAAATGGTAGCATGAAAAACACCTCACTTATAAGGTACAACATAATGAAATCTCTTATATTAGTCATTAAAGAACATATCATAGCATTCCAAAGTTGATTGTTCAGTTTTCTGGACTTTTTGATGAAATTATTGGAAAAGAAAAAGGAATTAACATTTATGACCACCTGTATTCTACCAAGCACTGTACTTTGTGTATTGCATTAGTTGCTGAGAGGCAGTTTGAAGGTGGTTGAGATCACACAATGCAAGTTTGATTTTGTGTCTTTCCTCACACTTGTACTTACTAGGTCTGTGACTGATAACTTGTTAATCTCTCTCTGCTTCATTTTTCTCAATGACAAAATGAGTGAAATCTTAGAATCTGTCTCTTAGGGTTTTGGGGAGGATTAAGTAAGTTAATGTAGGCAAGCAACTCCAAACACTATCTGGCATGGAGTAGCACACAATTAACACTCAACATTGGCATTATCCTCACTGTATTTTCTTATAAAATAGGGTGACTTCATCCTCATTTTACTGATAAGGACATTCATGCTCATAGATTGGAGCCAATTTACAGAGAAACAACAGAGGAGGTATGACTTTAAAATAAATTAATAACTTTCATCACTAAATTATGTTTTGACTTTTTTTCTAACCTAAGTACATATTGAGAGTTTCTTGCCTCTGTATTTACTAAAGAGAGAGAGAGAGAGAGAGAGAGATTTCTTGCTGTCCTTTTCCTTAGACTAGACATTGTTTGTCTGTTTATTTATTTATTGTAGTACTGGAGATTGAACACAAGGCCTCGTGTATGCTTGGTAAGCACTCTATCACTGAGCTGCATTGCCAGCCCCCTTTTATTTTTATTTTCTTTTGAGATAGGTCTTGACAAATTGTCCAGGCTGGCTTGAACTTAGGGTACTTGTGCCTCAGCCTCAGCATGCACCTGCACATTTAACTATAGTATGTACTTTAAATTTTATAACTGTAAAGAGGATTTATTGCAACACATAGTCTAGTCCCTCAGTATGTATATACATATATATATATATATATATATATAGAGAGAGAGAGAGAGAGAGAGAGAATATATATATATATATATATAGAGAGAGAGAGAGAGAGAGAGAGAGAGAGAGAGAGAGAGGAATGTGTGTGTGTGTGTGTGTGTCTGGGATGAGGGTGAACACAGAGAATACTTTTTTGCTTTCAAATTTATGCACTAATAAAAATATTAACTTTTTTTGAATCAGGAAACTACAGAAAATGACCCAAGGGAAACTATGACTTTGTAGAAATCCTATGTCGCCATGCTGAAGATAAACTCAAAATTTGCAACACAAAATGAAATAGGTTATACAATTATTCGGATCACATAAACTAGCAGGCAAACAATGTGTTCTTAAGAATTCAGGTGAAAGGCAGTGTTTGACTCTGCAGAATGCCTCTAGAAATCTTTTGCAACCACCATAATGTTCATTGATGAATGTACACAAGAGATTTTGAGAGCCTCATGGTCTCTTTTTAGATTTGATTCTTGAAAATAGTCTGTCCTTTTCACTTTCTTTTGCAATAGGCTTTAGTTCCATTCTATATACATCTGTGTTTACCGTCTGTGCTATTTGCTTTACAGTCTGTTGGTAAATGATAGGAAAAATTGAAAAAGGCCCTGAATTAAGTAGACTAGTTTTTGTTCCATGTTTACTTAATAACAGCATAACTTTAGACAAATTATTTTTTCTGAGACTTAGTTATACTTTGTTTAAAATTTCATTTGTGTTTTGGAAAATCATGTTAACTGTCATTAATTCATTATCTTTCCAAAGCAATCCTGTGGAACAAGCTGGTAATCTCCAGTACCTTGTCTGATAGTTAAGAAACCTGGGTTTCAAACAAGTGCCTTTTATTGTTCAAACAGAATAGAGAGTGGGACTGGTGTAACTAATGAAAACACCTATTAAATGCTTATCACATAATTCTAACTATTTTTATGTTCACTTATTCATTTTGTCTTTTCATAGAGTAGAAGCTATTATTACATCCATTTTACAGGTGTGGTGACTGAAGCATGGTGAAGTTAAGTGTCCTGCCAAGGTCACAGCTAATAAATGTCAGAGATGGAATTCAAGCCCAGACATTCTAAGTCTACTTCCCACCCATGTGTCTACTTGTCCAAACTGCCTAAGGGCAATAAAAATATTAAAAGCCTATGTTTTCTGCTTTCAGTCTAGACTCTTTAACAAAAGTAGTGAAAGTATAAATAGGCTTATCATAGGAAAGTGTTCTGATTTGTCTGAAAGGAAATGAATATTGCATTTGGAATGTATTTTTTAAATTTGTCTAGTTTTTACATTCTTGCTTTATAGGGCCTGAAGACAGAAAATTGTCTTACCTTATAGCATTTGAGACTGAGGCTATTAGGTTTGTGATGTTGAAATAAAAACATCTGCTTTTTCTTCTCTAAAACTAACCCGGAGCATAAATGTAACAGGGATAAGAATTTAAATGTCCATAGGACTCAAACCATAATTTAAAGCCACAGACTCCAGACTTTTCTACCACCTCATCTGCCGGCTGCCTTGGAGTTAACTCCTTTCTCACCAGACCCAGCGATGCCTACTGGGCATGCCCAGTTATACGGTGAGACCCTTGCAATGAGTTTCACTTTCTCCAGGTTTTAACAGCGGCAAAAGGAAGGAGGAGACGGAAGGAAGAGTTAAACAGGTAGAGAACTTGGTTCAGTTCAGGATGCCCACAGCCAAGGCAACGCACGGAAAACTGGAGGATGGCGAGGGGCTGCTGCGAAAAGCTCCTTGTCAGACACATGAGTCTGGTCTGCAAGTTGGCTCCTTAGCCTGATGGGTCACTCTTACATCTTTTTTACTCTGTGTGGGCAGATCGCGAAGGTTTGGTGTGATCCCTCAGGCCAGGGCTGCGGTAAGGGGTGGGGCAGGAACAAGGGATCTTGAAGTCCCTGCATTCCTCGAAGGGCTGATAGCTTTTCAAGGGTTCGTAGCAGGAGACCACCGTACACAAGTAAAGCCAGAGCTCATCTTAATCACCGACTCCTAGGCTCTTTTTCTCTTTGGCAATTGAGCCCTTTTCTGGCACCCTTTCAGGTACCCCCCGCCCAATCACGACTAAACCCCGGAGAAGTGGAATCTCCACAAGCTTTCCGTGGGTCTAGCTGAGGCCTGGGCATGCTCAGTAGGCTACGTGGTGGTTCTCTGGTGTTCTCTGTCTCTCTTTCTCTCTCTCTCTGTCTCTCTCTCTGATGGGGGAGGGAGGGTGGTGACAAGTTAGAAGCGCTTGCGGCAGGTCTCCGCCCCCAGGATCGGGCTCCCCCTCCAAGGGGACGATGGAAAGGTAGAAGCACCTAGCTCCGCAGCATCCACACCCGGAGCGGTTGCGCCCGGGGACCAAGCCCACGGTTTCTCCAGTCAAGGACGGGCCCGCCACTCTCCATGGTACTGCGGAGAGCTCAGCTCCGCCCTTCTCTTTCAGAAGGACAGCACCCGGCGTCACGTAACCCAGCCTTCTCGGGCTCCACCACCGCCTCTTCCTTCCCAGCTTTTCCCTCTCCATCTCCACCTCCTCCTGCTCCCCTCCGTTGCATGTTCTCCCCTCCCGCACTCCTGGAGATAGACGCTCAAGCCTGACGCCTCTGAAAGGCAGCAGCAGTCGCCTTATCCGTAGACCTCAGGAAATTCGCTTTGACCGGTGCATGCTTCAGGCTCTGGCTCGAGCTAAAGGGAATAACCAGGCAGGTAAAGGAGCTCAATTTGGGTTGGGGGGAGGGGATGGGGCGAGGCAAGCTGGAGGAGGATATCTTTCCCTGTTGTAACTGAGCCAGGATCTGCCACAAATACACAGGCAAGGATGTGTGGTGGGAGGGTGGAGGAGTGTAGATCTTGGTTGTTTTGCATGAAGCCTCTTTAATAGCAAGATGAGATGATGGAACTGGGGTAGTAACTTACGGGCTAAATGCGGTGATTTATTACCAAAAGAAAGAGAAGAACAGACCGGTTAGAAATCAAAACAATAAAATAAAACATATCTATATCTTTCTTTTTCTTCCTCATCTGTCCACACTATGCTTATCCTGAATTTGTGCTGTAGACACCAGGCTCTCAGAAACTGCACTGATATGAGAGATGGAGCTTAGAGACTGGGCGGGAAAGCCAGGGAGAATTTTGGGCGTGCATTGGTATTGAGGTACTTCGCAAAAGCCAGGGCAAAAAGATAGGCACTTCTAAAATCTCTCCTAAATATGACAGGCTCCTTATTAGGATAAATAATGACGGATGCATGGAAAAGTGTGTGTTTATGTGTGTGTTACTATGAACATACTTGTATAAATGCAGCTGCAGCGGGATCAGCATACTGTATTGATCCTTCCAGTGACTTGGGAATGAATTTGATTCTAGAAATAAAAAAAAAGATTAATGAGGCTGGTAGTAAGCTTTTGAATTAAAGCGCTTCTTGTTTTGGCTGCAGTAAGATTGTTTTTCAGATCCTTTTATTTCATCCTCTAATTTGTGAACTCACCAGGTCTTTCTGGCACCTAGAGAGAATCCTCTTTCTCCATATAAATACAGATACTCTGTCACACACAATGAGCTTCCTTTAAGAACTGGGAGAGTCAGTTGACCTCCCTTGTGGTAAGAATATATATGTATACACATTTGTCAAGGCTTACCCCCTTCTTTTCCATTCCTTACAAAATTTTCAAGTTGTGCATTAGTGGAGAGGGCAGGAGAGATAGGTGAAAAAAGGTTATATGATCTTTGTATGTGACATTAATTAATGAAATAATTGGCTCCAACACACACACACACACACACACACACACACACACGCAAAGATTTTCTAACACATAAAATCGAGATTGGTTCGAAGCACTACACTTGATTGTGACATTTCCAGATTTATTTTGCAAATTGTTGAAAATTTAGCAGATTCTTGACTCCATTTGAAAAAAGAAAGTATATTGAATAATATGCTACTATTGGTGATTTTTAAGAGCACCTTCCTTTGGATTTGGCACAGGAGCAGGGAAGATATGACTTGTAATTGCTGATGGTGTGGAATGTATCAGCCATAATAAATTAGCAACTGAAATTTTTATTTCCTTTGGCTAGTGGGCAGCAGTGTGTGTGTGTGTGTGTGTCCTGAAAGAGAGAGAACCAGTCATCAATTTCATCTGGGGAACTTGAAGTGGGATCCCCTAGCTTGGTGGCTCTCAGCTGACACCTGTAGGGATTGCTCTGAACTGAAGAGAAATGCTCTAAGCTCCCTCCATGGAGGAGCAGCAGCACAATGCGGTGCCATAAATTACTGCTAGTTTCAGCTTGAAGGGAAGAAGAGTGTTAATTGGATAGTGAGCTTCTGTGCCCAAGCAATAAATTTGGTGTGTGTGTGTGTGTGTGTGTGTGTGTGTGTTTGTGTTGCACTGGGGCAGGGGAAATAGTGGGAAATGGTGAAGAAGATAATGTGCTTGCTTGATATGACTAGATGACTGATACATTTGTTATTTTTTTCAAAATATAAGTAATTTTTTGGTTAAAAAAGAGTCAGAAAAAAATCAGTATTTATGACTTCTGTACCATTTCAAGGACCTGTTAGATTGCAGTTGATAAAGAGAAGTGATTTAGTAGCATAGTGAGTGAGTCAAAGGCATGGTATTAAATTCTAGCATCCTGGAGCCATAGTAGCTGAGGTGACACACATGCCAACTGCTGTAGTGACCACACAAATTCTAAGGTCTGACAGCCAGATAAGGACTTGAGGAGGAATTAGATCACTAACTGTTAGGCAAAATATTAAATACCCATCTTTAGAAGAACTAATATTATGGCAACTGAGGGATAAATATTGACAAACTATATCTGGTTCCAGTTAGATATTTCCTACTGTAAAAGCTTATTCCTTTAGTAAAAAGGAGGACTATACTTGTTTGAAATTTTTAAGGCAACTTCCAAGAAACCATCAGTGTTTCTGCTCTCTCTGAGAAAAATATAATTGTAAGAATGCTATAGAAATCTAAGCTGGCAGTTTCCTGCTGACAGTTTGATCTACTTTGCCTGTTGTAAAATTTGTTATTAACTGAGATTTGAATAGGTTGTATTTTAACTTGTCTATGTAACTAGGCACAATGTAAGTAGAAATCTTAAAAGAGCCTTTTTTCTCTCCTCATATATTTTAAAAATTAAACTTTCTTTGAAAAGGAAAAATACAGCCACAATCAAATCTGTATTTAAAACTTGAGTTACAAATTAAGAGTTGTAATAAACTACAAAGGTTTAATACCTTGTTGTAAGAGTGTGAGGTTAGTTATTAGGAAACATTAAGCCTTATGTGTAAGTCAGGACGAACAAGCTCTGTCCAATAAGGTTAATTCTTTGGCTCAGAAATAGCACCATTTGTGAATCTGTTTGTTGGGTTGAATAATGATTTATGTGATACTATAAACTGACTTTAGATCTAATTTTGATTTTAATTTTCTGCAGATTTCTGGGTCCTTATAAAAAGACAAAATAAAATCAAAATGCATCACCATCACACAACAAATTGATAAGCTGGCATCTTAGTGCGGCCTTGCAGGGGCGGAGAAAGAAGAGGAGCTGTTGTGATTTCTACATCTAACAGCTTCTGGGTGTTTCACAACTTCTGGGTTGAATCCTATTGCTTGGGAGGTTAAAAAGAGAAGTGAAATCCAGCCTGTGAGGCCATGCACAAGGAATTTGGCTCTGGCTGCAGTGATGCTGGAAGCCCATGATATGACTGAAGAAGCAGGCCTTTGAAGCTATTCTGAGGTTAATAAGTGGTCCCCTAAAGAGGCAAAGATCATTTTTTCCGTGCTGGTTTGGAACCCTACACCTGGAGGGGAAACACAGGCATCCGAGGAGAGTGCTTCATTGGTGTGAGTCCCTGAAAAAAGTGTTTGCTTCTTACTGGCTCTAACTGCTCCCTCCCATTTTGCCTGGTACCACACTGGCAGATGACGGTATTTGAGGATTGAAGCATCTGTTTTGACACCACAGACGCCCTTAAAGTAGATCCTTGGATGCAAATGGATTAGTGGTTTTCCTTGAAGTTCTGTTGATACTTTTCAGAACGGTGCCTCCAAAGTGTATCCTCCCTTTGGTCTGGAAGTTCTGTGGCTGCCCTGTACCACTGGGTTCTGGGTTTTCCAGTTGGAAAGGGACTATAGAGAGAGAGGAAGGGGTTGTTGGAAGAGAAGAAGAAGAAAAAAAGAGCTAAAGGAGGGCGCGTCCCTCCCACTCTTGCCTATCCCCTCACCTTCCTTTCTCTTTGGACCCCTATTTCTTCATCACGGTGTCCAGGACCATTTTGACCCTGTCGGCCCCGGCACCCCCCCGCCGCACCCCAGCCCCGAGCATGGGGACGGCGCTTCTCCAGCGCGGGGGTTGCTTTCTCCTGTGCCTGTCGCTGCTGCTCCTGGGCTGCTGGGCAGAGCTGGGCAGCGGGCTGGAGTTCCCGGGCGCTGAGGGCCAGTGGACGCGCTTCCCCAAGTGGAACGCCTGCTGCGAGAGCGAGATGAGCTTCCAGCTCAAGACGCGCAGTGCGCGAGGCCTAGTGCTCTACTTCGACGACGAAGGCTTCTGTGACTTCCTGGAGCTCATCCTGACTAGAGGTGGCCGCCTGCAGCTCAGCTTCTCCATCTTCTGTGCCGAACCCGCCACTCTGCTGGCCGACACCCCAGTCAACGACGGTGCCTGGCACAATGTGCGCATCCGTCGCCAGTTCCGCAACACCACGCTCTTCATCGACCAGGTGGAGGCCAAGTGGGTGGAAGTCAAGTCCAAGCGCAGGGACATGACGGTGTTCAGCGGCCTCTTCGTTGGTGGCCTGCCCCCAGAACTGCGCGCCGCGGCGCTGAAGCTCACTCTGGCCTCTGTGAGGGAGCGGGAGCCCTTCAAAGGGTGGATACGCGACGTGAGGGTCAACTCCTCCCAGGCCCTGCCGGTGGACAGCGGGGAGGTGAAGCTGGACGACGAGCCGCCCAACAGCGGCGGAGGGAGCCCGTGCGAGGCGGGCGAGGAGGGCGAGGGCGGGGTGTGCCTCAATGGAGGCGTGTGCTCCGTGGTGGACGACCAGGCTGTGTGTGACTGCTCGCGAACCGGCTTCCGTGGCAAGGACTGCAGCCAAGGTAAGGCCCACGCCCGATCCCCCTCCTTCTCCCCCGGGGAGCCTAGGCCTGGGCAGGGCGCGGGGAGGCAGGGCGAGGCAGCGGGACCCAACTGGTGCATGGGGCCTTCCTTCTCTGGACAGTGTGTGGCAGTGCGCATTGAGGGGAAGGCCTGCTTCTGGCAGCCACTCTGCCTTACCAACTCCCACAGCTCTTCCCTTTGCATCCTCTTAGTGGTTGAGCACCCCCAGTTTGGGGGGTTCACTTTGCCCCTGGAAGCCCTTTCTTCCAACCCCGCTTCCTTCCAAGTCACTTCTTAGGCCTGCTGTTCTCTAGAGTCATAAGACCATTGCTCGCCTAAATGACCACTGTACTTCTCTATCCCAGCACTAAAGATATAATACACAGACTTTGCCCCTACGATGCAGACAAGCAAGTAGAAAACTGAACACATATTTGGCGAAAAATGAAGTGCAGGAGAGGTTCCCCGGGTCATGGTTGAGAATGCCCACATGGTTACCAGGAAAGCACAGGAGAGACAGAGTTCATAGGCACTGTTCTGCCTTATCAAATAGAGCATGATGACCTGCTCTTGGTTGTGGGAGAAGAGAGGGGAGGGAAGATTTTCTTTCCCAGCAGGATTTTTGGAAAGAACATTGGTTTCCATGGTTATGTCCACGTCCAGCATTCGTCATATTTAAGTCATTTTTTTGTGTGTGTGATTTCTTGTGGTTTCTTGAAGTGTGAGACAGGTCAGTAATGTTTAGAAATGTTAGAGATTAAATAACATATTTCTTGATTAACAAATGTCTTGTGAAGAAAAATAGTACAGAAATTCAGATGTGGCTGACTTGAGAAGCTTCTGCAGGTTAATGAACAGAGGATGCATGTGAGCTATTGCAAGAAATTTTCTAAGGATATTCAGATAATGACATTTATTTGAGTGGTGGAAACCACTTTATAATTTCTGTAGTTCTTGGGGCTTGAAGCAGTATGGAATTAAACCACAAAAAACATATCTAAGTTTATATTTTCACTCCTTTACATCTAAAATTTAGTTTTTTTGTGTGTGTTTTCCTATGTTGTTATATGACAATGACCAAGGAAAATATTGTATGAACACAGGGAAACCTATGAACAGGAAGTGAGCGATATGAAAAAGATGAAGCATGGATGTATCAGTGGCTGAGCAGAGAGAAGATGTCAGGTTTAAAGTAAATAGCTTATGGGTCAAATCAAAGCAATTAACACATAGATAAATGAGCATTTGTGGTTGAAATGGGGAAAAAGGTGAATTACTAAGTCTGATTTTGAAAGCTATAGGGACAAAAGCTTTATGCACAGCTGTGTTTTATTGTGTAGTGTCTTTGTTTTTTTTTTGCTGACACTGCTAAGGGAAACTAGCCTTTGTAAATCTCATTAGACTTGGCAGTTTTCTCTCACTTGACTTTAAAAGAAATGGAGACTTGATGAAATTTGTAATTGTTTAAACAGGAAAGGGAGTTAGTTAGGAAGAAATAATGCAAGTCCTTAGGAGTGGTCTGTAGCTTTCATGGGATGGAGGGGGTAGTAAAGGCTTATTTTATTGTGTGCTACCTTCATCTAAGTTTTTGATTAGGTATACTTTATCTTTAGTAAATGTAGATGACTGTGTATTCCAGGTCCATACTGCACTTCAGTTTTGCCAGTAAATTTCCATTGGTTTAAGATCAGACTTTATACTTATGTTGTATAAAAATAAAACAGAATATCTTTTTCTTTTACTAAATCTAACAGAATAAGATAACTAGATAAGATTATTTCAGAACTATAATTTGAAGTTCATACCCTTGCAGCAATTATAGAGAAAAATGAATATTATTTTATGGGAAAATATTGCTGTAAGTATCCTAATGTCACTTTAAATGATAAAGAAAGCAATTTAATGAAGTATAACTTCCTTTCTTAAATTAGAAAACAAATATGACACAATGACAGCTTGTACTGTGTAGGAGGGTGTTTTAAATGAAATTTTTTATTTTTCTATGCATTTTAATGTAGGGATTCAGGGATCATGCATAATCAGAAACAGTGGAGAAAGCACAGAAAAAAGTAATGTTAAAGAGAAGCTGATTAGATGCTTCTGAGATGCATTTTTATTTTGGCAAATGGTTGCTTAGTTCTTTCCATAAGATGAATAATTTGGAATTTCCAAAACGTACATTGGAGCCAGATAGTACCTGCTGCATAGGAAAAAAATCAACCCAGAAAACCAAATCCATCAGGATTATTCTGGAGCATTGATTGATTTTGCAAATTTGAGCTGAAGACAGAGTTAAGTATAAAGATCCCCGCTGTTCATGAAAGGGAAAGAAAAGGCTGGATTCTTTTTGATAATAACAGAAATGGATGGTGGAGTGGTAAGGCATAGTCTGTCTTCCCAGAAGGATTGGCTCCATTTTGCTTATTTTCCTTGTTTCATGTGTGTCAAGTGACTATTGAATAATTAATTGAGAGTGGATGCCTCTCCCAGCACTGATCATGTATTGACGGCTGGGGATAGATGATTTCTATTCAAATGAAGTATAAACAAACCCTGCCTCTAAACAATCAGTGTTTACAGTGATTGCCATATTCTTTATAAAACTAATTTAAAAACAAGTAAATATATATTCATTAGACAACATTTAGAGAAAAAAGGGCAGACAAGAAAACATGTAGCACAAGTTAAAATTTTCTCTGGTCCCAACTACAATTCCTTTTCCTTATTTAAAATGTCTGTTTTAGTTACCTTCATATTTAAAATGCAATAAGAACCACTAAAAAGACAATAAGAATACAGTAAGCCTGCACTCTGTCTTTATTCACCATTGTATCCCTTTCAGTCAAGAGTGCCTTGAAACAACCTATGCATCCGTGAATTTCTAGAATGTTTTTATTGAACGAGTTCAGTTTCATCCTCGCTCTGTTTCTTTGGGCCTAGCAAGTTTTACTTATTTGTTTATGTACTGACAGAGACTGAGCACCAGAAAGATTGTATGTCACAACCAGGTTCGTGGCAGAGCCTGGATGAGAGCATAAACATTCCCATTCCCAAGTCCTGTATCAGCATGTCTGCTCAGTAAGATTTCTGTTTCCTTTAGTTTGACATAGTTTTTCTGGCTGAGGTGTTATTCAAGAGAAAAAAAAAAATTCCATACAAAAATGGCTGCTGGAGTGGAGCTAATTTATGCATCACTTATGTGCTTTGACCCTGAAAATCAGTATCAGACCTCAACTATCCAAGAATGTCATCTTTCTTGAATGATGGATGCTTATGGGGTATGTAGTGTTTTCAGTGAATCATACTCATCTAAGTGCTCCTGCACCATTATTATTTAATAGGTTTCTACTTAAGAGTACTAATAGTTTCCTAGTAGCTTGAAAGAATTAGTGAATTTCATGGCCATCCAGCTTAAAAGTAAAAATGAAAGGATGATCAATAAGAAATTAAGTTATACATTTTATAATCTTCATATCCAAATACCATCCATCTTATGGATTCATATTAAAATTTCTTACTAGACTGTGAGTGTCACTTTCATGAGCTTTCCCTATTTAAATGGCCATAAACACAAATGATTGCTTAATATTACCAAACATGGCAGTGTGATAAATGTCATTTAATAAAGCCTCTGCTTTCTGTGACTTCACTGATGTGACCAGAGAGTCAACTATATTCACTCATGCATTCATTTATTTACTTCCATCCAACAAATGTCAGTTGAGTGCTTTGTACCTCAACTGTCAAAGTGTTAGGGTCATCCAATAAAATGATAAGCAAACTCAGAAATACTTCCTACCTGTATAGACCTCACATTTTAATGAGAAGCACATCAATTAAAAAAAGAAAGCACGGCTGGAGGCACGGCTTACGTGGTAGAACACTCCCTTAGTAAGCCCAAAGCCCCAAGTTCATCAACCCCCTGTACAACCAAAAAAAAAAGGGGGGGTTATATTTTGAAGAAAGGTTACGTGGCAGTGAAAGAATTCAAAATAACGTTAGAGAATCTAATCTAAGAATGTTTTTCTGAGGTGTGATTATTAAACAAATCTGAACTATGAGAAAGATTTGACTAGGTCAAAGTAGAGGAGAAGTATTAACTACTAAATTCGGAGGTGCAGAAGTCTGTATAGGAGATGCCACAGCATTTTCATTTACTGAGAGAAGAGGAGTGGAGCCAAACATTTAACCTTCATAATACAAGTGATGGAGAGTATCATGTGAGTTTTATATTTTAGTAATGTCATTCTGACTACAGTGTAGAAAACAGATTGAGGCGGGGAGCAGAGAAAACATTATTTTCTGTTTGTCGGTCAACAACATTTGTTAAGCACCCACTGTAAGATGTATACAGAACTAAGGGAAAAAGTAGGGGGAAAACAGTGTTTTTTTTTTCTTTTTAAAAATCTTAAAAACAAATCCTTCAAATCAGGATTCTTGTTTAAAGGAAGTTAGAATCTCATAGGTTTAGTTAGGTATAAAAATCTAAGGCCATTCATTGTTTGGAATACTCGTTTCCACTTGTAAAACCATGATCTGAATTTTTTAAGTGGATTGTCATGTGGTTTTTCCTGATAGACCTATCAACTCCATAAACTTCTGGAACCCATTGGCAATACCATACCCTCAAGTAAAATAAATTACACTCAGTTTGTCTTTTAATAATATATATTGAATGATGCAATATTTTAACTCAACAATGAAAGAAAATTTCATGTAGGTGCTTCTAGCTTTTGTTTTAAATTGTTAAAAATATTTAAGTAGTTGTTATTGCCATAGTTTTGTTTAATGTTTACAATGGTCATAAAAGATGGATCACATCTGTTGAAAGAACTTTGAGTGAGATGAAGAAACTCATCAGTAGTTTTGATTTTGAAACATTCTGGGAAGCCCTTAAAATGTGACAATAAAAGACATCTATCTTTCTGTAAAGTTTATCTTGGCTCTAAACCAAGTCATTGTTCAGGAATTCCAGAAATTGCATGGAATATATCATTTCAGATTTTGTTTTCCTATTCTGAGGAGCAGTTGTAGTGTAGAAGTTAAATTACACAGATTCTCTGGCCAGACTGCCCAAAGATTACAATTGGGTGACTCAAACTTTGTATTCTTCAAGTTTATCTTTGAAATGGGCATAGGACAGCCCTTACTTCATAAGACTCTTACGAGAATTGAATAGGTGATGTCACTGAGGCTTTTAGAATAGTGCCTGACACATAATACACATTCTATAAATATCTACTTCTTATGTTTGTTATTAAACTATCATGACTATTTTCACTGATATCATTTTCTTTA